TCGATCATACTGCCAAGGAGTGGGTACCACCATCTCAATATACTGAATCTTTAGAAGACCCAATGGAAAAATCAACAAGGTATCTTGACGAAACAAGTACCTCACTCCCTTTGTTGAACCAAAGAATGGGATACAGTTTTGGCTTTGAGCTTTAATTTGTCCACCATCTCTTGAGCAACCAGATTCGCACTACTTCCACCATCAATAATAAAGTTGCAAAGCTTTTCTCCTGTTATACAACGTGATATAAAGATGTTCTTGCGCAACCAATTTGTTCCTCCACATTAGTTGTTTCACAATCTTCTAGCTGCTGGTTTGCATTTTCAGTATTTGCAAAATTTTCCTCAAATCCCACATCGTGATCATCAACAAGGTTAGCACAAGCGTCAGCCCTTTTTGGACTTTCATTAGACTTATGCCCAATTTCAAAACATCAATAGCAGTTGACTGTCATTTGGCCTTGAGTATTCTGCCTTGTTTGGACTGTCTTTCCAGTTCCACTACTAGTGTTCGCTTGTTGGTTAGGACGAATGGGAGCTACTGTTCGTCCACCTCGAGGATGGTTATTTGCCTGACTACTTGATGCACCACTGCTGTCATCATCCCCAAGCCTCTTAGATGAACCATGAGTGATATGGCCTGATCACTGATTTTATTAGGTCATTGCAAGCTTACGTGGTCTTGTATGGCCAATAGGAGACCATTCTTGTACTGACTAACCTTTTGGTTTTCAGTTTCAGCAATATTACACCTTAATGTCAGAATGTGGAACTCATGAGTGTATTCTTGCACTGCCTTTTCACGCAGCCTTAGGTTTTGTACCCTTTGGTATAAAGTTTGCTCATAATCCCGAGGTAAAAATTGATCTTTCAGACTCTCTTTCATTTTGTTTTACCTTCTAAGTCTAACCTTTCATTTCCTCTTTACTTCTCGATCATTTTGATAGTGTTTCCACCATGTAGAAGCTGGACCCCTTAGTTTTGCTCCTACAATCGTCACTTTTCTTTCTTTTGGCACATTTTTCCAATCAAAATAGCTTTCAATGCTATCTATCCAATCCAAAAATAAGTCTGGCTCCATCTGTCCGTCAAACTCAAAGATAGGAACCTGTGGAATTTTGTAGAGCACATACAATGCGATCTTCTCACCGTTGAGGTCTTACATTGCGTCTTATATGTCTCTCTTGATTGGACCCTCCTTCTCCTCTAGAACTATCACTTTCTCCACCAGACAGTCCATTAAGCTCATTCTCAACCCTCCTAATAGGATCAGATTCATGGTCGCTTTAATAAGTGTAATAAGCAATTTTATCAATCTCCGAATACACACCCAAAGGTTAATGTGATCCATATTGATGCAATGCGGTTAGATGAAGAAGGTTGATGCCTATAAAAATAAATGGGAATAAGTGATAAACACTAGAAAAACGCTTTAAGAAGGCAATGTCCGTAGAGTAACCGCCCCAAAGCAAACTCACCGTAGGATTACTATAACACGCATGATATAGGTCACAAAAAATATGAAGGTGAATTATAATAAGAAACATACTTGCCCCATTACCAACCTCCTTCGACATCTCTCATAAGGTGTTCAACGGTGTTGAAAACTAGATCCACTTAAGGTGTGTGCATAGCTTGAAATTGCTGGTCACTTAACTGAATGATTAAAAAAATACCAACTAACTAGTTGAACCTCCACTAATAAGTAAGATTGCTTGGAGTTGAATAATCTATCAAATATTGATTAACTGTGGAGGATATAAGTTATTTAAGAAGAGAGAATTTGTGTTACTTATAGGCGTTTATTTCTCTTTTCTATTGTGGCAACCCAGTTCCCCCACTTTTTAGCATTATGGGGCCTTCCTATATATAAACATAGTGCCTTTTCTTCCACCTCCGAAGGATGGGGAATATACAATGGAAAAAACATTGATTACCCATTAATCGAATTAGAGAGCTCTTTAACGCTTTCTCTTATTGCCAATACTCTCAAACTGATCATCTTGCTGCAACAAAGCAAGTCCAAGAATGAATCTAATGTAATTTAGGTCTCCGTCTTCCTCCTTAGGAGGTTTGTTTTTGTTTCCTCTTTGATGAAAGAGAGCAAGGCTGTGTTGGATAAAGAATTGTAGAATGAGAGAAGATTTTGTCCACCAAGCATGCCAAAGTGCGACCTTGAATATTATCTGCAAGCTTTTCCTGTTCCATTAGCATAACTAGATAGGATGACTCAGTGTCAGGAAAAATAAACCCCTTTGCCTTGATTGAATTTGGCTTGGTTGTGCCTTCAATCAATCAAAAAGCTTATCCTGGGCAAATGATTTATGGGTTGGTTGATTTTCAAAATCACTTCTTGAAAACATGAATAGGAAGGTAGGCGAAGGTCTTTAATTGAGAGAAGGGGGGGGTGGGGGGGTTGCTCAACTTTGGAAAGGAGAGAACTTCAAAAAGTCACTCTTTAAGGATACTATTAGGACATACATGCGTATCTAGTCTAGTCTCGCCTTTGTTCCACAAGGATTATGATCAAATGAATGTTCATTCTCTTTCTATGAAGCGAAGATATATTTCTAACCTCTTAATAAACAAGTGGGACACAAATTCTTTAGGGTGGATTTTTTTCTAGTAAAAAGGAATCAAGATAGGATTCCAGATTAATAAAAACTCAAATCAAATCATATGAACGAGTCATTGTAATCTTATTTATCTGGTCATTCTTCCAAAAAATTCTGATTTGTTGGCAAAGAGTTGAAGAAACCAACTCCTCATTCCACTCCAATTGATTTAAGAACGTGAGAACGAATTAGTGTCCCGTTTAGATATCTCGATTAAAATACCCATAAAGAGTGTTTTTTACATAGTCATTATTCGTGCTTATTTCAATGATTCTCGATATAGATTTGGGAATTACAAAATACTGGACTATAGAAGTGCATTCCATCATCAAAATTTGATTGAGTATGGAGGAGTTATGGAAGTTGGGCCAGAAACCAAGTGAAAGTAGATCGATTTTTTTCCATTCTCGAGGAAGTGCGTATTGTACCTAGTTGTTCTTCCATAGTGATATAGAATAGTATCGTTGGGAAGGATACACAAATCACTCCAAATACAAGAAGTCAAATAGGCGGGCTGGTCTAATATTTAGGGTGTCCCCAATCGTATCTACATTTTTGAAAAATTTCATGTTGGGGTGTCTTGTCCTGTCCTGACTTTGTGCCCGTGCTTCCTTGTTTCAGATGGAAAATGCTACTTGTGATCTACATTAATTTTTTGTCGTGATCTTGGCATGGCTATGCCCACACACCCACCCAAACATTAATGTGTCATTTGAGGATGGGATAATCACATATTTTGTGAACACATGCTACACATTTACCTAATATATTAGTGAATTATAAGACAAATTCTGTGTCATGGAGATGAAGTCAAGAATTAAAATTGTGACTGATTAATATTGTAGTTGGTTACTTCATGAGTGTCGAGAANGATACGATACACGATACGATACAATATTTGTATCTTACGATACGCCTTCCGATACATGATTTGATAACTATNCTCACACATTTTGGCACCATATGCGGCTGTTGTTCCTCTTTCCCAACAAGAACATATGCAAGTCCACTCTCTTTGATATGCCCCATGAAGTCATTTGAATTGAGAAGTTTGTTGGCAAAGTTATCATCTCTCATTGGTTTCAACACAATTCTTTCCTTTTTATCACCATTTTTCACAAAGAAAGAATATGTGTTCAAGGTGCCATCATGGAATTTGCCTCGATCATACTGCCAAGGAGTGGGTACCACCATCTCAATATACTGAATCTTTAGAAGACCCAATGGAAAAATCAACAAGGTATCTTGACGAAACAAGTACCTCACTCCCTTTGTTGAACCAAAGAATGGGATACAGTTTTGGCTTTGAGCTTTAATTTGTCCACCATCTCTTGAGCAACCAGATTCGCACTACTTCCACCATCAATAATAAAGTTGCAAAGCTTTTCTCCTGTTATACAACGTGATATAAAGATGTTCTTGCGCAACCAATTTGTTCCTCCACATTAGTTGTTTCACAATCTTCTAGCTGCTGGTTTGCATTTTCAGTATTTGCAAAATTTTCCTCAAATCCCACATCGTGATCATCAACAAGGTTAGCACAAGCGTCAGCCCTTTTTGGACTTTCATTAGACTTATGCCCAATTTCAAAACATCAATAGCAGTTGACTGTCATTTGGCCTTGAGTATTCTGCCTTGTTTGGACTGTCTTTCCAGTTCCACTACTAGTGTTCGCTTGTTGGTTAGGACGAATGGGAGCTACTGTTCGTCCACCTCGAGGATGGTTATTTGCCTGACTACTTGATGCACCACTGCTGCCATCATCCCCAAGCCTCTTAGATGAACCATGAGTGATATGGCCTGATCACTGATTTTATTAGGTCATTGCAAGCTTACGTGGTCTTGTATGGCCAATAGGAGACCATTCTTGTACTGACTAACCTTTTGGTTTTCAGTTTCAGCAATATTACACCTTAATGTCAGAATGTGGAACTCATGAGTGTATTCTTGCACTGCCTTTTCACGCAGCCTTAGGTTTTGTACCCTTTGGTATAAAGTTTGCTCATAATCCCGAGGTAAAAATTGATCTTTCAGACTCTCTTTCATTTTGTTTTACCTTCTAAGTCTAACCTTTCATTTCCTCTTTACTTCTCGATCATTTTGATAGTGTTTCCACCATGTAGAAGCTGGACCCCTTAGTTTTGCTCCTACAATCGTCACTTTTCTTTCTTTTGGCACATTTTTCCAATCAAAATAGCTTTCAATGCTATCTATCCAATCCAAAAATAAGTCTGGCTCCATCTGTCCGTCAAACTCAAAGATAGGAACCTGTGGAATTTTGTAGAGCACATACAATGCGATCTTCTCACCGTTGAGGTCTTACATTGCGTCTTATATGTCTCTCTTGATTGGACCCTCCTTCTCCTCTAGAACTATCACTTTCTCCACCAGACAGTCCATTAAGCTCATTCTCAACCCTCCTAATAGGATCAGATTCATGGTCGCTTTAATAAGTGTAATAAGCAATTTTATCAATCTCCGAATACACACCCAAAGGTTAATGTGATCCATATTGATGCAATGCGGTTAGATGAAGAAGGTTGATGCCTATAAAAATAAATGGGAATAAGTGATAAACACTAGAAAAACGCTTTAAGAAGGCAATGTCCGTAGAGTAACCGCCCCAAAGCAAACTCACCGTAGGATTACTATAACACGCATGATATAGGTCACAAAAAATATGAAGGTGAATTATAATAAGAAACATACTTGCCCCATTACCAACCTCCTTCGACATCTCTCATAAGGTGTTCAACGGTGTTGAAAACTAGATCCACTTAAGGTGTGTGCATAGCTTGAAATTGCTGGTCACTTAACTGAATGATTAAAAAAATACCAACTAACTAGTTGAACCTCCACTAATAAGTAAGATTGCTTGGAGTTGAATAATCTATCAAATATTGATTAACTGTGGAGGATATAAGTTATTTAAGAAGAGAGAATTTGTGTTACTTATAGGCGTTTATTTCTCTTTTCTATTGTGGCAACCCAGTTCCCCCACTTTTTAGCATTATGGGGCCTTCCTATATATAAACATAGTGCCTTTTCTTCCACCTCCGAAGGATGGGGAATATACAATGGAAAAAACATTGATTACCCATTAATCGAATTAGAGAGCTCTTTAACGCTTTCTCTTATTGCCAATACTCTCAAACTGATCATCTTGCTGCAACAAAGCAAGTCCAAGAATGAATCTAATGTAATTTAGGTCTCCGTCTTCCTCCTTAGGAGGTTTGTTTTTGTTTCCTCTTTGATGAAAGAGAGCAAGGCTGTGTTGGATAAAGAATTGTAGAATGAGAGAA